GGGCCGCGCGCGGGGCGGGGCCGGCGCGGCGGGAGCGGCGCGCGCGTGGGCAGGGATCGGACCGGGACCGGGACCCGCACCTCGCGGGGGAAATGGGGAGAGGCGGGCCGGTCTTGCTCTGTCCGGGGAGAGGCTCCTCGTGGCTGGAGGGACTCTCTTGGCTTGTGCCGGTGGCGGGGCCGCGCGCCGGCTTTGGAAGTCATCGTGGTTGGCTGCGCGGAGTCGGACAAGTCCGTGCCGCGGGGACGGGATGGCCCCGTGCTGCTGCTCCCACGGCGGGACGGCGTGTGAGCGGAGGCAGGGCATCAGCTGGACGAGAGGGCATCGTCGTAAGCTGAGCCGGGGGAGGTTTAGCTTGGACATAGGAGGAATCTCTTAGCGAGAAGCGTGGTTAAGCATTGGAATGGGCTGCCCTAGGAGATGGTGGAGTCCCCGTCCCTGGAGGTGTTTGAGGAAAGACTGGACGTGGCACTCAGTGCCGTGGTCTGTTTGGCATGCTGGTGTTGGGTCGCAGTTGGACTCGGTGATCTAAGAGGTCTTTTCCAACCTGATTGATTCCGTGGAGGGGAAGGGAAACTTTCTCCTGGATCTTCCAAGCTTTTGGTTTTTTGAATTTTTTCCCTTGTGTTAGTTGTTCTTAAAAAGGCTCTGCCATCTCCCTGCAAATATCACCCCGTAGCCTCGCATTATCTCACTTACGATGTTATTTCTCTGACTGCCTGTGTACGATGGAAGGTTAGTGCTGGGTGGCCGTTTCCAGGTGTCCTGTTCCAGAGACTTTATATGCAACAGAAACTTATCCCATTCATAGTCTGTAAATCTGTGCTGCCCGTAGCGCGGTCCCTGTAACAATGATTTTAAGCTTTGCCTCTTGAGGGCGTTTCATGAAAATGAAACTCCGGGCTGAAAGGATACGTCATGAGCTGTGAAAATACCGGGCTGCTGTTTCTGCAGAATTCCCAAATGGTGCTGAATGGTGGTGTTTAATGGTCCCTTTATCCTTTTTTAAGCTGATGTTCCCCTGGATTTTTTTTTGTTTGCTGGCGTTTTTTCTGCTCTGACTGCTTGATGTTAATGAAAGACTTACCAAAGTTGGGATATGTCAGTGAGCTCTCAGGAAATGGAATTGCAACTTTATCCTCAGAAGCTCTTTATTTTAAAGCTATTTTGTATATACCTCTGGCAGTTAGTAGTTAGAGTAGAATTTCCTCCAGCTGTTAATGAAGTGCTGTGTAAATTAATAGGTTGTATCAAGCTGGTCTTTTGTGTATTTGGGCTTATTTTTATTGTAATTTCATTGTGTTCTCCTTTCAGTGTTACCACCTGCATTGACATGTGAACTAGCTCATTCAAAACAAGTTTTGAAGTTTCTACTTGAACTGTGGTTGCACCTTTTAATTACCCTTTAGACATACCCATAGGCACAGGGGAAATGAATCGTAGCTTGAGGCACGGTAACTTAAAGTGACACATGAGGTAGAGATTTTTCTCAGCATGGATTTTCTTGTCACAGTCTTTCAGAGAGATTCAGTGATGCTTCACTTCTGAGAGATGTGACTGTTTTGGACTTGGCATCCCCCCACTGACCCCCAGCTTCAAAGCAGAGTCTTTGTTACATCCCATCTCTCACTGGCACTGTACCAGGGTGTTCCCCTCTTGCTGTCAGTGTGCCATGTGCTGATTTTCTCTGATGCTGTGTTCTGTGTGTTGATGACTTCAGAGCTGGCATGCTCATGTGGTCCTGTATATTCAGCTGAGTGCTGGCTCCTGGAGAAGTCCCAGTTTAGTCCACTTGGAAATGGAAAGGCAGCAAAAGCCCGTGGGCAACAGCGCTGGCCCAAATCACCACGAGAACTAAAAAGTCCTACAGTCAGTTGTAGCAGTTTCTGAAAGGTTCTTTATAGAAACTTCTTATTTAAGCAGGTTATTTGATAGTCTTATTTCAGCTTTGGTGTTTCTATACAGTGTTCTTTACTTTCTTTTTTTTTTTTTTTTTTTTTTTTTTTTTTTTTTTTTTTTTTTTTTTTCCTTTTTTTTTTTTTTTTTTTAGTTTTTTTTTTTTTTTTTTTTTTTTTTTTTTTTTTTTTTTTTTTTTTTTTTTTTTTTATTTCTTCCCCTTCTGTTGAATAAGCTCATGTTAATAGAATGATACATTTTCTTTTATGGTCCTGTTTCTGCAGGCTTGCTTTAAAATCTTTCTGTTTGTCCCTCAAAAAGGTTGTGAATTTTTTCTTCTGAAGTGTTTCACAAGTTCTTGAGGGGGCTCAATTTCTGTCTTTAAGAGCACAAAAGTACCTTAAAAGTCAACTAAAAAAGTTCTTAAGTTGCAAAATATAACTTTTATGGCAAGAGGTTAATGGATGTAAACCAGTGCCTCCCTGAAAAACTGAAATCAAGTTTTTCCAAAATAGCATATAGCACATAAAAAAACCTGAGTGATGTGATTTAGGGCTAGAGGCTTTAATGTTAATTTGCAACATAAGAGAAGTAGAAGAACAGCAGCAAATAGCTTAATTTATGGTATTTGTTTAAATACTTCTGAAGGCTAAAGGGAATAGTGAGCGAACCTAGTAGGCTGTGAGCAAGTCAAGAAAAAAAAAGACATTAAAGGAATTACACACTTGATGAAATATTCTGAGTGGCTGAAATATCTGCACAGGAGGTTCTGGAATGATGTAATGGACAAACAAGTTAGAAAGACCAGACCACCTCTTTTTCAGAGAACAAGTGGAAGCTGAACTGATAGAAAAATTATTCAGCTTTATACTAAAGAGCAAAAGCATAATGGATGTACTTGTTTAAATAATATAATAATACTGATAAAGAAATGTGGATGTAAATTACAGAGAATGGAGGCAGCATTATGATAGCGAGTCAGCTTTTTTTCTGCTCTGAAGGAAAAGACTGTTACAGTTTTTAAAGTCTGTTAAGCAAGTAAGTGGATTAAACTGCTCGATGTTATTTCCAAAAATAAATGTGGAGTTTTCAAGATACAAAATGCTAGCAGTAGAATGCAAGGCCTGTAGAAGTATCAGTGCTTTTAAATTATTGTGGACCAGGTAAAGGGACTCTGGAAAAACAGAAGAGGTAATTTTAAGCTAAACACTCTTAAAACCTCTACTGAATATAAAATCTGTAGACCAGGAGGACTGGAAATGATATTATGCCACCTCCTGAGTGTCTTAAATTGCATTCAACATTGTGCAGACTTAATAATTCATTTTGAGGATAAAAAGTAGAGGTTGTCTAAGACAGGTGACAGTAAATTTCCTTTCACCAGAATTGATTTGTAAGGGATGTTAGTAGCAGGAAGGTATGAAAAAGTGTTAGAAAGTTGTGGTAGACTGCACATCACAGGGTCACTTCTGCTGGTCTGTTCATGTTAGGCAGGAATAAATGGAGTTCAGTGACAGAAGAAATTTGGTTTGGAATAATGTGAACACTTTATTGAAACAAAATTATTGCTTAGTGTCCTGAGGAGACAGACGCTAAAGCTCATTGGAACTGAAAGACAAACAACTGTTCCTGGATGTGTGTGGAGAGTTACGGACTCTGAGCTTTCAGAGTGGCACATAAGATTTAAGGTTTAGCCAGTCACCTGCTGCTGACAGTTTCCTTGTGATCCAGAGTATTTATTTTCTCTGTTTTTGTGCTTTTGTTGGTAGTTCCGAGTGCTTGTCAGGCTCAGCAGGAGGATTCATCTGTTCTGTGAGATGCCAATTGGTTTGACACGCACAGATCTTTATTTTATTTTATATAACTATTATATGTAAGTGATGTGCTGCTTCTAAAACCATAAAATAAATACCCTGTGGCTAAACATCCTGAACATATCTTGAAACAAGGCTTTGTAAGCCTGTCAAATTTAGTGCTAAGGTAACACTTGAAAGCAAATTCACCTGTTGAATTATGAAAATGGGCAAACAAGCCACCTATTGGTGGATCACAAACTATAAGTATCTATAAATAAAGTCCTATGATGTTGTGATTTACATTAGGTTGTCGTGATTTTTGTCTGAAAAACAGACAAAAGGGTCTGACTGCCTCTTAAAAGACACAGGGATTCTTTGTAGAGCTTCCACATGATCCTTTCTTCAACTGCCTACGTGTTCTTATTCTACCATTTTGTTGGTATTGATAAGTTACCAGAAAAGAGAAGAGGTGTCTCTGTGAATGTGCTGTTAGTTGGATTCAGGAGCTTTTGGTAGGAGGGATATTGGGTGTAAATGGGATGAGGGAGGCAGAATGAGTGTAACTAAGCTTTGAAGTGCCTGTGGGTTTTGGCTTGATGTGGTTGATACCTCAGTGCTGTGTGACTCTTTCATTGCTGATGTCCAAAGCTAGGATGAAATCAGAAGAATTTTGATTTACTGTTATTTTGTTGATTTGCACACATATTTTCCATAGCGCTGAGTCACAGCAAATGATACAATTGTGGCAGGCAGATTTGTCATCATGGGAAGCATGAGGTAGCTTTGCTTTCAGTGCCTTCTGATATTTCCAACCCTAAACAAAAGCTGCTTGAAACTACAAAGTCAACTTATTATTAATTTAGTTTATTTTTAACCTAATTTGTTTTAAGCTCTCAGAGCTTTCTTCTTTTACTTGTGCGAAATTCTGAAAGGTGCACTCTTGTTCACTTATAAATAATATTTAAGGCAAATTAGGATTTTGGAAATGTTAGAGTGATCTTTTTTTCTGACAGATGATTGTCAAATGTGGTTTTTCAAGCAGTCCCTCTTTTAGTTATGACCTTACAGAAAATACATAGTTGGCCAGCACATTTTGTGAATGCTGGGAGGATGTGCTGTAATCTTGATCAAAATACAAATGTATCTCCTCTTCAAAAGAAAAACAGAT